ACTAGATAAAATGCTTACTGAATAAATGTTTGTATTAACCCGAGTGGGGAAAACCCGAATTGTAGTATGAAATGATTATATATATTTCAAGTATAAAAGTTAAAATGAACAAATTTTAATCAAAATCCTTAAAACTTTATTTTATACTGGAAATATTTGACACAAAAGATCATAAATTGAATTCCTATCAATTTTCCAATTTTACCTTCAAATTTATTTTCACTAAAACTTAAACTTTTTCTGAAAACGATAATACTTTAAATCATGTATTTTTTATCCAGTGTTTTTAAAAGCTTTACAAATTGTATTAAATTGTGTATTAGACATGTTGTTCAACAAGTTTTTTTGCATTAAAGATATAAATAAGAAATGTATGTTTTGGATAAAATGTTGTTACTTCTAATAGAATAAAGAATGTTGGTTAAAATGTTTATTCTAAATTATTAAAAAGCATTTTATGTTTGGCTTTATAATTACATCTATTTGCGTGGCTTAATCTTAATTAGACTTGTAGAAACTGCCCAGTAAACGAAAATGTTATGTACATTTTATATTTTAGAACTGTTAAATGGCGATAATAGACCAATTTAATTTTAAAACTCATGTTCAAATTTACTAAAATTTTAAGTTCAATAGTTTGCAATTCAGAAATTTTTCTTCAGTAGCTTGTTTTTCAGGAGTTTGTTTTTCAGAGGTTTGTTTTTCAGAGGTTTGTTTTTCAGAGGTTTGTTTTTCGAGGTTTGTTTTTTAGAGGTTTGATTTTCATAGGTTTGTTTTTCAGAGGTTTGTTTTTCAGAGGTTTGTTTTTCGGAGGTATGTGTTTCAGAGATTTGCTTTTCAGAGGTTTGTTTTTCAGTTTTTGTTTTTTCAGAGGTTTGTTTTTCAGAGGTTTGTTTTTCAGAGGTTTGTTTTTTAGAGGTTTGTTTTTCAGAGGTATGTTTTTCAGAGGTAGTATGTTTTTCAGAGGTTTGTTTTTCAGAGGTTTGTTTTTCAGAGGTTTGTTTTTTAGAGGTTTGTTTTTCAGAGGTATGTTTTTCAGAGGTTTGTTTTGCAGAGGTTTGTTTTTCAGAGGTTTGTTTTTCAGAGGTTTGTTTTTCAGAGGTATGTTTTTCAAATGTTTGCCTTTATGTGTACAGAATTGCCCAGGTTTTTAATTAAAATTATCGGCTTTGTCTTTTTCCATAAAAAAGTTTCAACAAAAAAATCGAACCTAGTCCATGGTTTTGATATTCGCTGTTTATTAATAATTTAAACGGTTGATATATTACATTGTAACTTTTCCAAGAAGATTAAACGTTAATTTTTGTGACTCTTAGGCTGAATGATCCGATCCAGTACAATAGTGCTGGTCTAGTCTTTGCCGTACCAGCACTATTAGTACGTGTATCCAGTATGTGCTAGATCTAATAGCGTTTTATGCAACAGAATTAGACGGGCTGAATTACCGAAAAGGAATTGAGTCAGATTTTCTAATCCCTATATTTTTGCAACCTAAAGATGTTAACTTTTGATATTTCAAACTTTTATTATCTGATCTAATAAAATTCATAGTTTGAAATATCCAAGGTCCACGACATTGAGTTGCAAAGATATAGATAATAGAAAATTAGAGTTTGTGTCAAAGACTCAATTCCTTTCTTACACACATTAATTATGTTTATTTTTGATTGAAAGTTTAATTAAAAAATTAAGGGTGAAATTTTTTCATCGAAAATGTCTAAATCTTTCTTACTGCCTTGCACTATGCTACAGCAAGTAAAAAAGCTGTTTTTTGGTATGCCACAACAATAAATCAGACCCGCTAATCTAAAATTTATTGAAGCAGGTCTATATTAAACCATCTCTTTACATGACATTAATTATCAGAAAAATTAGAATCAATGAAAATTAAAACCCCGTCAGACTTTAATTTTCTCCATCTATGTTGATGCGACTCCAATTGTTTTCTTTCAGAAATAAAATAAAGTTTTAAAGTTCTTGAAACTTTATTCTTAAAAACTATTTCTTTAATGGTATTGTAAGCTTATAAAAACAAATGAAACAAAATAATAGAAAATTTATTTAAATTTGATGAGGAAAATATTGAATTGGATAGAATAGGACTAGTAAAGGGACTGCAGAATAGAACTAGTAAAGGGACTGCAGAATAGAACTAGTAAAGGGACTGCAGAATAGGACTAGTAAAGGGACTGCAGAATACAACTAGTAGAGGGACTGCAGAATACAACTAGTAAAGGGACTGCAGAATAGAACTAGAAAGGGACTGCAGAATAGAACTAGTAAAGGGACTGTAGAATACAACTAGTAAAGGGACTGCAGAATACAACTAGTAAAGGGACTGCAGAATAGAACTAGTAAAGGGACTGCAGAATAGAACTAGTAAAGGGACTGCAGAATACAACTAGTAAAGGGACTGCAGAATAGAACTAGTAAAGGGACTGCATAATAGAACTAGTAAAGGGACTGCATAATAGAACTAGTAAAGGGACTGCAGAATATAACTAGTAAAGGGACCGCAGAATAGAACTAGTAAAGGGACCGCAGAATAGAACTAGAAAAGGGACTGCAGAATAGGACTAGTAGAGGGACTGCAGAATACAACTAGTAAAGGGACTGCAGAATAGAACTAGTAAAGCGACTGCAGAATAGAACTAGTAAAGGGACTTCATAATAGAACTAGTAAAGGGACTGCAGAATAGAACTAATAAAGGGACTGCAGAATGGAACTAGCAACGGGACTGCAGAATAGATAGGACTAGTAAAGGGACTGCAGAATAGAACTAGTAAAGGGACTGCAGAATAGAACTAGTAAAGGGAAAGGGACTGCAGAATAAAACTAGTAAAGGGACTGCAGAATAGAACTAGTAAAAGGAATGCAGAATAGAACTAGTAAAGGGACTGCAGAATAGATCTAGTAAAGGGACTGCAGAATAGAACTAGTAAAGGGACTGCAGAATAGAACTTGTAAAGGGACTGCAGAATAGTTCTAGTAAAGGGACTGCAGAATAGAACTAGTAAAGGGACTGCAGAATAGAACTAGTAAAGGGACTGCAGAAAAGAACTAGTAAAGGGACTACGTATAGGGATAAGGTGCTAAGAGGAAGGGGGTTATCTATTTAATTATAGACCACTAAACCAAACTTAGTTTTTTATTTCCCTTTCTTTATGTTACAAGATGATAATGCCCGATTCACAATGGAACACTTGAAATTTTTGTCTGTTTAATAAAGTGGAAGATATATTATCATTTCTACAGGTTTGAAAGTGCTTATTTCTTATAATTCCTATGTGCTTTCGTAGCTGCAAGTATTAATGTCTTTTTGTAGAAAACCTGCATTTGAAAATAATCAGTTCTTAAAGTTATAAACATTGATATTTAATTAATAATTGATCAGACTCAGCGCTATTAGGGTACCGTTGTGAATAGGAAATTGCCATCTTTGCATGTATGGTTATTTAAAATTGTGCTTCCGGCCAGTCCCTTTACAGGACTGGAAATATAATTTTAAGAGACCCCATGCCTACCATGCATTCTCTACTTTACAGTTTACTCATTAGCCCTTCATCGGATTATTTAACATGATGATATCACGGTGGACTAGGGCCAATTTGAATTCGAACTGAACCTACCCCATGTACCTGCCTTAGTGACGCACGGCGAGTACTGGCCTTACCCTGTCCTCTGCCAGCTCGGTTTCAACTTTGTCGGCGCGGCCAGACTTTTTACAGTACCCGGACTATCATCGATCTATTTGACTTACCCCACTTGCTTAGATTAGCTTGGATATCGTCGTACCTTTCTTAAAAACATAATAAATTTCTTATTTGCATTCATTGTCTGTGATGCATAAAAGTTAGTCATCAATTGTTAAAGAAAACCTTGAGTTTAAAGTGTCGCAACGCCTTGGCTTTACCTTACTTATACCTTTCTATAGCCCTAGGCATATAAATTTTAAAAGGCAACGTGATTAATCCTAGCTTAAGTGTAGGTAATTGGCAAAATACTGCTCGATTTTTGTGTGAGAGCGTGCACATCTCGGTTTGCAGTGACTGAAATTTAGTCATCAAACATTTAGACAGCCTAGACTTTAAAGGTTGATTTTACCTCAGCACCTTACTTTTTTGCAGCCCTGGCAATATACATTTTAAAAATGCGATTGTTTTTAGCTGAACTGCTTGATTTTTGCATGAGAGCGTGCACATCTTGGTTTGCTGTTTCCTTTAAGTCTAATTGTGTGCATGTGCATTAAAATGTTTAAACTTCTGTTAAACTTTGTAATTTAACAAATTTTAAACTTGGTTTTGAAAATTTAAATTGTATTAATGAAAGTGAAATGTTTTAAATTGTAAAAATTAGAATTATATATATGTATATATTTAATATTTATATCTTTATACCAACTTTCCTTGTCTGTCTGTTTGTATCCAATAAACGTCAAAACGGGCCCTAATTATTTGTGGGA